TTCTGAATCGTTATTATAGAGAGGACACATTTGACTTTTCCACTTAGAGAGTCTCAGAATAGTCGGCAATAGAAAAATCGAATGTAGAACTAACTCTGAAAAATTATATGTAGAATTTGCCGCATAAACTTTAATATTAAGACCCTACAGTATTTATGTTTATGCAGATCAACGATATCGTTGCTAATCATTAAATAAAGAGTTAATCGATTTAATCTTTTCCTTACAAAATTTCAAAACATAATTTCGTTTCAGTGACAATATTACTTTATTTTTGCAATATCCTGATACGAAAGCAATTCAATGAAATTTTCATTTCAAAGTTCTCCGCTAGATGATAATGTATGCAAATAATGCAATGATTAGATAATAAAATACAGGAGTCTCTGACTATAATTACAAATTGAAAAGAGTTAATAAAGGAAACGCGTATAAATGTTTACATTTCCAGTGTTTACAAGCAGAATACCAGCGACACATCTTGAAATTACCGTAAATTATTAACATTAATAAGATGGAACGCGAAGCGCAAACGAAATCGAGATGACACCTCGTCCGAGGAACCTTTCGTTAATTGTAAGTCAACCACCCTCTTCTCCTGCGCCAGGCTTAGATGGCGCGATACAGCCAGTCGGTGCAAAGCAAATTCGAAGCGGAGCTTCAAACGAATACATCCAACATCGACGTTTCGAAGGGAAAACGGATCGTCTCTAAAAATTTCTGTACACAGGCATCTTTCAACATCACCGAGAAAACGGACGTGGTTTTATTGACAGTACGAAAAAAAGGATGGCAATGTCAACTGAAAACAGGTTCTTGCTTCTCGGAGAAAGAGAGACGAAGAGGGTAAGAGACAGATCAAAGATCCATATCCTTGCCCCATGTTAATTATTTTCGATCGATTGTTCAACGATTAAAGGCACATTGTTTATTCATCCGAAAGGGAGCTCCGATCCTTTTCTAACCGCTGGCAAGTCAACATGATGACTCATTTCGACAGATCAAATCTGCGGAGGACAAGAGGCACAGTCGCTATTATTCGTGGTGCCATTGTAAGTCGCGGTGCCACGCTTCGACTTATTCTTTACGATGACCCGAACGAAATCCATTCTTCTTCCGGACGCATATCTATCGGATCGAAGGGGAGCATCGCGTTTACCTTCGCATTAACGTCCCCCTGTTCGGGACACCTTTATACCATTCATCATGCGCGAGAGCAGGGCTCGTTGATGAATGCAGATAACGACGTAAACATCGGGACGATTTGAAAATGAAATTTTACTCTTCTCTTCTCTCCGAACCCGGCTCCGTCGCGTGAAATGCTACGACCATAGATAGCACTCGCTGCTCTTCTTCGTCTCCGCAAGAAACTGTCGGAATTCTTAACGTAAGTACGTCATGAATCCAGTACGAACGATTGTCATAATCGAGTACGGAGTGTATGTAATTCATTATAATGCTCGTGTTTCTTTGTACTTTACTTTAATTAGTTAATTATTGGGTTGGCAACTAAGTAATCGCCGATTTGTTCAATGAAATAAAAAATTTCTTTTTACTCGGAACGAAGTTTAATCTGTAATGTATTTTCCATTTTGTTCGATGACCTTTTGCCATCTCTCCGACAACTTGAAAATTCCACGCTCGTAGAAAGTCTGATCCTTTTCGGCCAAAAACCGAGTTAAGTGAGATTTTACAGCGTCATCGTCGTTAAAAGTTTTACCACGAAGGGAGTTGTCCAGGGATCGAAATAAGTGGTGATCCGATGACGCGAGATCGGGGCTATATGGTGGGTGTAACATCAATTCCCAACCAATATCCATCAATTTTTGCCGAGCGGACAAAGACGCGTGCGGCCTAGCATTGTCCTGCTGGAAAATGACACCTTTACGATCGACCAATTCTGGTCGCTTTTCCTTGACCGCTGCATTCAATTTGTCCAGTTGCTAACGTTCATGGATAATAAAAAAATAACATAATAATAATAATAATAATAATAATTTTATAATATAACATTTACGGATATCATAAAAATGGGAGTGAGAGACGTCTATAACT